GAAGGACTGCTAGTGTCTCACAACTCTCTGTCATGTGAGTGAGTTGCACTGAGTCATTTGTACTGCTTTATAATTTAACTGTTCATTTCTGGTATTATATATCTATCTGTATATAATTTAACAGTTCATTTCTTGTTATATGTTTAATTATCTTTATAAATAAATATATTAAATTATCAGCAATTTGGTTTTCTCTCTAGAGAACCCTGTCTAACACACTGTCCTTATCTATCCTCATTCTTGGCGAATGAAAATAAACACACTCTGAAATACATAGCTCTCCTCCTACTGTGAGTGCTGGAGATGATTTCTAATGAATCCAAACCCCATGCCATGGAGTTGACTGTGACTCTTAGTAAAGATATGGGGCATTGTAGCACACTCCAGCGGGTTCCCAAAGCTGTGAATTTTTATAGAAATGGACTGCCACATCTTTCTTTTAGGGAGTTGTTGGTGAGTTTGAACAGTGGGCTTTTCAGTTAGCAGCTGCCTGTTAAATCACTGTGCTGCCAAGGCTCTTTTCCTGGTAAAAAAGATTGTTTAACTCAGGATTACTATCGAGCTTTGGTTGTTTAGTCTAGCTGGGTGGGGAGAGAGCTAAACAACCATTACACAATGAGAGATGTGTCACAAGAGAGGAGCCTTCAAGGCATTTTTTAGGCAAAGGAAGTCTCACTGCTCCCACCCCAAATCAAGTCCCAATTTCTGAACACGGCAATCCCCCCCACCCCCAGTTTAACTCTATTATTGTCTCAAACTCTTATATCCTGCCACTCCACTCAAAGCTGGAGACACAATGAAGTGTGTATAATATGAACATAGTAGGTTTTATTCACACTACACCTAGTCCCTAGCATGCAGTAGCATTCTCAGGGAAACTCTCCTTGACACACTCAGTCTTGTCCATAGTTGCCTGAATTCCTGAGGCAAAGGTGATTTCCCTTTGTCCATTCACCTCCCTAGATTGGCAAGGTCCTTAAAGCTGGAACCCCAAATGCAGGGCTAAGAGCACTAACTATGCAGTTGGACAGATGCAGGTGAACTTCATGCAGCCACAAGATTTCAGGCTTTGGACCCTCAGTTTTTCTGAAAATCTGGGTTAACAATTCCCACTCTAGGACGTGTAATCAGTACAAATGTTCAGTTCTTGGCCTAAAGGAGTTGCTAAATAATGCTTGCTGAGTTGAACTGCATTCCAGTAAAACCCCAGACCAGAGTTTGTACTTTGGGAAGGCCCTGTCTCCTAGCCATTTAATGATCAACTGACCCAGTTTTCTGTGGCTAAGAAAGAGAAGTCTATACCATGTTCTTTGTCTCAAAAACCATCTGTTAGCTGAGGATACATGAGCAAACTCCCCCGAAGTGCAGCTTCAAATACTTGGAACAGTGGTTTTCAAACCTGCAGCAAGTCTCAGAATCACCTAGAAGATCGTTGACTCAGAAGGGGGAGCACCAAGCCTGGAGTTTATGATTCGGTAGGTTTAGGGTGGCGCACAAAAGCTTGCTTTTTCAAATCGCTCCCTGGTGATATGGAGACTGCTGGCTCCTGACTGTGAGTACTCACCAGAAGGTGAGGATTCTGTGCTCAGTACCAGCCATTTTAGCATGCTGTTTGAATTCACCACATCTGTAGTCTTGGTTTTTGATCACTCTACCCCGGTGCTTCATTTGCCACATCTGTAAAATCAGGGTAATATGAATACTGGGAAGAGGTAAACACACTCCAATTCACTGTCATCCGGTCAGTTCTGACTCATAATGACCCTATAGGCCAGGGTAGAACTGTCCCTGTGGGTTGTGGAGCATACTGGTGGTTTCGAACTGCTGACTTTGTGGTTAGCAACCCAACACATATCCCACGATACCACCTGGGCTCCTTGTTAAATGTACCAGTGGGTGGTAAATGCTTAAAACAACACCTGGGGTTCGTAGTTTTAAATACACGTTAATAGACTCATTTTCTGGAAGAAGGGGGGGGGGGTGACAAAACTAGGAATCTAGGTGACCATAGAAGACTAAGCACTAAGCCTGTCTTCTGTGCAAAAGGTAACAAGATCTAAGGGCCAGACACACGCTTCCTGGTTCAAGTCTCACAGTTTCTCCCCAAGCACCCTGCAATCCAGCGCAAAGGCCGCCAAGGGGGCCCACGGACACTGCGCATGCGCCCTCTCCCGGCAGCGCATCTGACGCACATGCGCGCTCTGGAGCGCTGTGTGGGTGCAAACCGATAGAGCAGAGATGGCGGCGGCCTTGAGGGTGGCGGCGGCTGGGACAAAGCTGTACAGCCTAGTGAGCAATCTTGGGAGCCAAGCAGCGCGAGGCGCCGCGGCACGCAGTCTTTGTAGCCAGCCCGTCCCGGTCCCCGTCCCCGTCTCCGAGCGCATCGAGAACAAACGCCTGGCCGCGCACCTGGGCGGGGGCCAGCACCGCATAGACGCGCAGCACAAGCGGGTAAGTCCGCGGCGGGCCGGCTGTCCCGCCCCCGGGGTCCGGAGCCTATCACAGCGCGCCTGGCCCGCGGCGCCTGGGCGCTCTCAGCCAATCCGCGAGGTCTGGCCGTCGGGCGAGGACGTTCACCTTGAGGACCGGTTGCCTTATTTGAGGCCGCGGGTCAAACGAGTATAAAACACCTTTGTGCTTGATCACGTTCTACGTTCCTTTTGCACTTTTAAACGGATTTGGCAAGACTACAACCAGTTTACCACTTAATGGCCGCACACTTTTGGATAGGTTATTTATTCAGTACGAGTCAGTGTATTTTAAACACGATCATAATAATGCTTGCCTCTTATTCTCCTTGTGAAGCTCAAAATAGTGAAGCAATAACACACTGTTTTTACATCTGCTAATTCTTGGGTCACATGAGAGAGTGGGGCCATTGGGCAAAAACTGCGGGCAAACTTGTATTAACGTGGGGTGGAAATAGTGGACCGACTGCCTCCAAACACCTGCTGAGCCCGTTTTGGGTAGGAAAGGGGGTGGTTTGGGCACTGCGTCCCACGGGCGCGGACTCGGAGAGGTGACCTGAGCCTTGAAGCCAGGCTTGACCCGTGGGTCTCTGACACGTGGATAAGTGAGGAACGAGTTGCTGGACAATTTAAATAATTTACGGGAAGGTGCAGATTTGAAATTTATAGATGAAGGAGAGCACTGGAGATGGAACTTACAGATGAAGGGAAGTGACTGGGCTAAAGGCTGGGGTCTTTAGGGTGGAGATTCAAACCAGTCTAAATTGAGTGTGTTGATTCAGACCTCTAAGTTCCTATTTGACAGGCTTTTTTAAACACTGGAAGTGCTGTCCTAATTAAATAGTGACCTACCACTCCCAAGTTAATGGAAGGTTTCGCAACCATCAGCCTTCAGAAGCTGTGTGTCAGAGTTGACTTGGGAGACAGCCTTAGAGAAGAGTATTTAAATACTTTTGGGAGGAGGGGAAATTGTCTTAACTGTTTGGATTCTGTAGAGCAGGGACGTTCAGTCCACAGGCCGAAAGAGCTAACATCACACCCTCACCAAAGAGCAGCAGTTCCAGCCATCGCATTAAGGATGAGTTAATTAAATGTTTGCTTAAATATAGCAGGCTAATTTATAAGTTGGCAATTTTGTGTGGCTCTCGATTGATGCTATAAATATGATGGCCCTTGGGGGGGAGGGTCAAGAGGTTCCCTACCCTGCTGTGGAGTAAATGTTGACTTCATAGGAAAGGGACAACGGGGCTTGCAAGTTCCGTAGGATCACCTAAGTACATCTGGGTGTATAGTATTCCATGAAGAGGCTTCTGGAAATATAAAACTACTCATAGATAGATTTTAGCTGTAAATGTTCTGTTGTGATGTTTCGGAACAGAAACAGTTTTTTATATTATAGAAATTCTTTAGGAATGTTCTTATAATTCCTAAATGACACAAGTAATGTTCATTTTACAAAGTTGAGAATAAAAACAAAAACACGGCCATCATGTAGATGCCAACTCATAGTGACTCTATAGGACAGGGTAAAACTTGTGAATTTTCAAGACTTTAACTCTTTATGGGAGTAGGAAGCCCCGTCGTTTGCCTTCAGGGCTGCTGGCGGTTTCAAACTGCTGACTTTTTAGTGAGCAGCCCAGCATGTAACCATTCTGTCAACAGGGCTCCTTACGAAGTTGGAAACAGAGACAGATCTCTAAAAAGTTATGATCCCGCTGTTCAGAAGTACTGCTAACATTTGACATCACATATTCTTCTGCACATAGACACACGATTTTTGGTACATTTTCCTTCCTAAGGAATATTACAAATTACTAAGATTAGATATTTCTATAGAGATTTTATCTTAATGGTTGTGTGAAATGTGCCAAAATTTAATAATTTCCCTAATTTGGGAAATCAAGGTGGTTTCTAATATTGTTTATTGAAGTGCTGAGTGAACGTCTTTGGGAACAAAGCCCTCCCACTCCATTTAAACTTTACTTTGGACTATTTCATTAGTCTAGATTGCCAGAACAGGAACTAATGGGTCAAAAAGTAGGGATTTTTAGAAACTATGACATTCATTACCAAATTGCTTTTCCAAAAAGTTAATTTTTTTAGCACAAACATTCATTTATTAATCAAAGGGATGATCCTAATGAAATCAACACTTTGAAATAGATGCATGTAAAATGTGTGTGATAGAAGTAATTGAATATAATGAAAACAGAAACAACAGCCATATGGAGATTTGCTCATTGAACCGAGCTTGTTCCTTCTCATAGTTGATTCTTGTCCAAATGATGATAGAATTTTTATTCTCCTTTTTCACAGGTCTGTGCACAGGTGACGGTGTTCATAACATATCCCACCAGTGATGTAACACCTTCCCATTTTCTTGTTGTGTTCTCCTTCCCATCCACTGCTGGTGTGGCACGAAAGGAACACCTGCGAAGTTGCAGACAGTCTGTTTTTCTTCCATCAGCTGTAGTTTCTTCAAACTTTGCTCGCGGGTTATAGGACTGTGGTTTTCCAAGTGCTGTCGGTTTTCACCGTGAGGATTTTGCCGTCAGTAAGCTGACAGTCAGGCTTGGCCATTGCACCCAATGTTTGAATAGCCATTCCCACTCCTACTGCCTTCATGTATTCATCTCAGCCTTTGCTGCCCACCAGGCGCCATGTTCCTGTGATCTGCTGAATGGGGACCAGGGTGGGTGAGGATGCGGGTGTGTGCGGATACGGGAAACCAGGGTGCGCAAAAGTTGTTAAATTTTATGCACCAGTGTATAGGATTGCTTGCTTGCTTGTCTGTTGTAATACTGTTTCATTGGCTTTGGGTACTTTTTTTAGGGAAAAAAATTGCCAATATGAAATGTTTTTATGTGGAGATTGTGGGTCAGGGTATTTGGTTGGGACTAAGGGCTGTGGAGCCCAAACAGTGAACCTTGCCACCTCAAAAAACCTTAAAAATGAGAAACAAAACCAAAAAAAATTTCTTCAGCGTGAGCCTTTAGCACCCTCTGTCTCACTCCTCTTCCACTTAGCCACACCCTGCTGTAGGGGTGTATCATCTGTCATTGTCAGGTGTGGTGCCCCTAAGCAGGGGTCCTCATGGAGGACAGGTGGAAGAGCAGCCCACGGTGGAGGTAGGAGAAGAACCAGGAAGTAAAGGGTCCTGGATTTGGGATGATAGCTGGACCCTGGTGAAATGTGTTTCCTTGAGCTTTCCTAGAAAGAAAGCTCCGTGTGAAGCTAGGAGGGTGGCCTCAGACCCTTCACCACGCCTGCTCCGGCTCCTCTCCTTGGGCTGCTCCGTTCTCTTGATGGTCTCCAGTCAGTGTTTGTGAAATTAGTTATATTGGTCCAGGCTTCCCCCCGGCCTGCACCCATTTTCTTTGCTTTCCAAGTGGATGGCTCCTCAAGCACGGGACCTGTCCTGGATTTCTTACCCTCTGACACCTACTGAAAGTGCCCGCCTCTCGGGCTGGGGGACAAAATGGAGGCTTCATTATTAGGCTGCAGGGGCTCACAGTGTCCTCGTGGCCTCCCCTTACTTGGCTCACTTTGTCCTGATGGCATCACTGAATGACCTCTGTTGTATTTTAGGGGAAGCTAACAGCCAGAGAGCGAGTCCGCCTCCTGCTGGACCCTGGCAGCTTTGTTGAAAGCGACATGTTTGTGGAACACAGATGTGCAGACTTTGGAATGGCTGCTGATAAGAATAAGGTATCTGTCTACACTGTTCACCTGTGGCTCTGCCAGCATACCCACTATTGAATGTGTCTATACTACTTTTCCCTGAATTCCTTCTGGGCCTGGGGCTTCAGGCAGACTCAAGAGATAGTATAAGACAGCAAGTCACACAGTACAGCAAGTTCCCCAGGGTGTTTAAAAGTTATGTTTACACTATTCTGTAGTCTATTTAAAGTGGACAAATTTAGCATTGTAAAAAGTTGAAGTATTGGGGGACAACACTGGAGACACAATGTGGGAATTGTGCCTGATCTGACCCTACCACACTGAGGTGAAACACTAAGGGCATGCAACAGAACAGCTAGGAGAGCAGAGCAATGAAGTCCCCAGGGAATACCAAAAATAGACTTTGGGGCCACGGCGTGGCACCCCATCAGACTCAACTGGAAACCACTCCTAAAGGTAAAGAAACAGATCTTTAACTATTTACAGACTTTTTTTTTGTTTTGGTTGTTGATTTGTTGTTGTTTTATTTTCTTTTCTTTTGTTGCTTTGTTTTGCTCTGTCTTGTTTTTTGTGCATATTATTATTTCTTCAGGTCTATCTAGGTAAGATAGGCAGGATAAACAATCTGGAGGAGAAAACAATAAGACCCATGGTTCTGCGGGGACATGGGAGAGGGGGAGGTCGGGGACAGGAAGTGGGGGTTAACAAACCCAGTGACAAGGGAACAACAAGTGATCTAAAATAAACCCCTCAGGACCAACATTGAGAGTAGTGATACCAGGAGGGGAAGGGGAAGGTGGGGCAGAAAGGGGGAACCGATCACAAGGATCCACATATAACCCCCTCCCTGGGGGATGGACAACAGAAAAGTGGATGAAGGGAGACATGGGACAGCGTAAGACATGACAAAATAATAATTTATAAATTATTAAGGGTTTATGAGGGAAGGAGGGTGAGGAAGGGGAAAATGAGCTGATACCAAGGGCTCAAGTAGAAAGCAAATGTTTTTAGAATGATGGTGGCAACAAATGTACAAATGTGCTCCACACAAGGGATGCATGTATGGATTATGATAAGTGTTGTACGAGCCCTAATAAAATGATTTATTTATTTTTAAATGGAAGTATTTTGAGAGTTGCCAAAAGTGACACAGAGACATGAAATGAGCAAATAGTGTGCTTTAGCTCATGGTGTTGATATAGACTTGTTCAGTGCAGGCTTGACACAAACCTTTAAAGAAACCAACAAAAATGAAGTGCCTGTGAAGGACAGTAAAGCAAAGCCCAATGAAAAAACGTAAATCTGTGCATTTTATTTTTTTTTTTGCAAATGTGGGGTCCTGGAATTGCAGAACCTTGGCAGAAGCACTCATGCGCTTTCAGGCTCCCCAGGCACCTTTGTGTGCAGGTGGAAGAGTGCGGGTGGTTTGCGCTCCCCCGTGCTGTCCCAGGGCTCTGGCTGTGGGTTCAAAGCTCTTGCTGATACAGACTTGGAAGGATGACTCTTTTCAGTTGTGCTCTGGTTTCTCCAGACACCAAACCCAGCTCACTGCCATCGAGTTGATTCTAACAGATAGTGAGCCTACAGGACAGGGTGGAACGGCCCCTGTGGGTTTCTGAGGCGGCACCTGTTTATGGGAGTAGAAAGCTGGAGATTTTGAACTGCTGACCTTGCGCTTAGCAGCCCAGCTCGTAACTACTACACTTCCAGATGGACACTTTTGACATATGTTAGATTTATGCCTTTGGTTTAAAGAAAAATTTTTATTGTAACTTTGTGTAGGGGTATTTCCGATCATTAATTTTGTATTCCACAGCCTACACAGTGCCCCATTCACCTCACCACTCCCTTGCTTCTTAATTCTCTCCCGTGGATCGTCCTCTTCCGCTCATCATCTAGCCCATTGCTTTATCCTCCCCCTTCCTCTTCCCACAGTGTATGCCTTGGGGTTTTTGAAGCAGGGTCAGGAACGCTGCTTTAGTGAGGTGCGCTCCCCGATGCATGTCGTTCTTTGGACGCACTGTACCCCTAAATTCCTTCATGTGCTGTATGTGACCAAGGATTTGTAATCTCGGTACCAAAGCAGTTAGCTGAAATTGATCCATGGGCTACACAGTGATTGCTGAGGTTCCTTGCAAAATGGGGTTTCTGTTTTGCTTGTAGATTTAGGGGTGCAGGTGTGACGTTGTAGAAATTGCCATGCTTTGTGGAAGGGAGATTCAAAAAATTCATGGAAGAATGGATTTAAAAGATGCTGGAAAATTTCCCCAAACTTTTGTAGGTCCCTTGTATGTTCTTTTCCTTCCTGTGAGCATTTGGTAATGGTGGCTCTGGTGCACCTCTTGATTATTCTGCCTTTACTGTGAGACCTAAGACTACAACACTCTTCACCCCTGTGGATGAAACTCGTCTTGTGCTTGCTTTTGCAGGGCTTGGGGACATTCCTTCTCATATCTTTTTCATACTTAATATTAAGGAATTTGGTAGTTGTAAAAGCTGAGTTCATGATAAGAAGTACTTGACATTTTTAAACTTTATTCCTTTTTTTTTTTTCTTGTTAGTTTCCTGGAGACAGTGTGGTCACTGGACGGGGCCGAATCAATGGAAGATTGGTTTATGTCTTCAGTCAGGTATTTCATAACTCCGTACCTGTAGGTAAATCTCCTGACTTGTAGGTAGAGCCAGGTGCAATGCATGCAACATGAATACAGTCGTGGGGGATGTAAATCTGCCAGTGGTTTGGAACAGGTGAGGGATTTATGTTCTTCTTTTTCTCAGTGCGTATCTCCACCGAGTATTATGTTTTCTTAGGGAAGAAGAGTCTTTGGTTTGTTTGGGGAGGATCACAGAGAATTAGGCATGTCGGAAGTTGCCCTAGGAACCAGGATATTCCAAGTTAATGAGATTCCTCTTGGCAGGATTAGATGTGTGTGTGGAGGGCAGCCTAACAGCTTGTTTGAAATGAGCGTGGTCTTGACTTTCAGTATCACAGGCTACTAAGGCCTGAACTTTGATTAAAGCTTATTTCAAACAGGTTGTGTTAGGCTGAATCAAAACAGATACAATTTCTTCAGACTGAAGTCCCATAGCAGAGGCAGACTATGGTCGCCTTTTTCAGAATACCTTTGATATCTAAATCCGAATCCCCAGAACGTGTGAATAAATTACCTTATATGGTAATGGGAAATTAATGTCACTAACCAATTGACTTTAATGTAGGGAGATGATCAGGTTCCATATAGGGACCTAATGTAATTGTTTGAGCAGGAAAAGAAGGAAAGAGGAGCTAGACCTTGGGTTTCAATTAACAGGTTTCATTAGTGTTACAGACCTGTCAGGTGGTTCAGAATGGAATGAGAGGAAAGGGGGCAGGGTGAGGGGAGATTGGAAGACAAGAGTAAAGAGAGACTAGCTGCAAGTAAGAAAGGGAGAGCTAGAGAAAGGAGAGGAAGAGACAGAGGAACGTGGGGCCACAGGAGAGGGGTAGAAAGTCAGAGATAGAACAAAGGATCCCTGTGTTACTAAACTTTGGGGACAGAAATAAATTATGATGTCTAAAAGCGACCTGTGCTTCCCTGCAGAAAGGTGAAGAGTGGGGGGAGGTTTCTGTGAGGCATCTTGAGAAGGCAAGGAGGTGTCACGTTACACTAGGTAGTGCCGGAGAAGGTGTTAAAGCGCCTGGCTTTGGCTGAGAACCATAGCATTACTGCTGGATCCTTTTTAGTAATCACCATTGTTGCTAGTTGTTCCAATGAGTTCTGACTGACAACCCCAAGTACACAGAGTAAAAGTGTAATATAATCATACCACAAATAAAAATGGTCATTGAATCGATTTTAGCCCTGTGCATCCTGTGTGGCACTCCTAAACTCCAGGACTGCAATATCATAAGCTTACAGAGGGTGGTGGTTTGTTACAGCCGCAGTAGAAAATTAATGTACAGTGAATGTATTGTATATGTTTGGGATTTAATTTTTTTCCCGTTAAAAGGATGAAAAATGTATATAATTCTAAATGCTTAGTTCTTTTTACAAGCCTAAAACTATGTAGCTTGTTTGATATTAAAATAGTTTGGTAAACTTTAGCTATATTGTATTCAAACAATAACAATACAAATTAAATTGCCTTTGAAATTTGATGGCTATTATAGAATGCTGAAATAGAAAGAATCACATTTCTTAGCTTTTGTGATTTATGAGGAGTAGGCAAAAACCAAAGATCCCTGTGCCTTGGTTCAGCACTCAGGTAAAAAAGGCCAATGGTTTGAACTTAATAATATCTCAGAGGGCGAAAGATGTAGCAATCTGTTTCCCTAAAGATTTACAGCCTTGGAAACCACATGGGCAGTTCTACACTGCCCTATGAGGTCACCATGAGTTTTAATGGCAGCAGGGATGTTTGGGGGTCTTTTTGCCACAAGGAACGGAAGAAACTATATCCTAGGCAGAAAAAAGGTCTCAAATTCAAATCTGTTTTATAGTGGTCCCTTTATTCAGCCTTAAACAGGATAATGACAAGACAAAGACAAATCTTCTGGATGTTGGAGCCCATGAACACGAGGCCAAAATAGTGTCCACAGAGTGAGTTCGTGGCCGTGATGCTAATGAAAGGACACAGAATAAAAGGACTTTTGCCACAAAGCCCTGATTGGCAGCAGATGGGGTCATCACTAGTGCAGGCAGGACTCAGACACAGGAAGGGACCGTGATTGGGATATATAAATTACCGCAGATTAGAAACATGCACAGAATTGGTTTGCCCCCTATTCCACCTGCACCATCACCTTGACTCATGGACATGTGGTCCTAGTGCTCTATTTCCATTAAGGGCAAGCCCAGGCAGGTCCCTGAGGGCAAGATTCCCTCTCCCTGGGCTGGCTAGGGGAGCTTTCAAACACACTCTAGTGCAAAACTCTTTGTATTGTGTTCAGAATGAACTCTATAGAGGCTAGGTTTATATCAAAATTCAAAATGGAGTTAATACTCCCTCTGTAAACACTAGCTTTCTGCAAAGCAAGTTTGTAGAATTTGAGCTTTAACAGAACCAGCACAAAGATAGAGAAGACAAAGCAAGGTTTTATGCTTTTCAGACGGGGTAGCTCTCCTAACTATTAAGCAGATACAAATATCAGTGACCTGACACTTTTGAATACTTTTATGCTCATGGGAGGGTGCAGCGAGGAGGATGTAGCGATGACTGAGACAAGTCTTGCCCTGAAGAGGCTAATTGTGTTGGAGAGCAGAACAGACGGGAGGACAGCACAGGTAGGATGAGGTTCTAGGTGAACCTGTGTTGTGGGCTAGAGAAAGGGAAGATCATTTCTATTGTTGAGGGGGACACTTTGCCATTTGAAATAGGCCCTGAAGGATATTGGGGGTGGGAAGTAATGAGCCAACTTTTCTGTTGTAATCCCTAAAATGTCAGAAACTTCGTGTGTGTGTGTGTGTGTGTGTGTGTGTGTGTGTGT